CCTCCCTCCCGCTGGGCTCCCTTCTCATTGGTTATGCAGGAAATACAGATGGGCAGGCCTAGTCTGAGAAGACTTTGCAAGTGAGCCTGGCATGTCTTTCCAGGCTAGTAGCTTCTTTTCTCAAAGCAAAAACAAAACAAAACCCACACCAAGAGTCATGATAATAAATAACACTTATTGAACTTTATTTAATAGTGATGTCCTTGGGACTTTAGCAGCTCTTGAATTAACACTTAATAAACATCTACAATTACAAAGTCCTCGAGTGCAGAAGAGGGGGTGCCTCACAGAACGTTTTGGTGATCTCGTGCATGTGGCAGCAACACAGCAAACACTTGTTGATCTGTTGTAAGACTACTAAAAAATATCGTGTGAAGCGGATAAAGAAAACGTTTGAGTGTTGAAAGGGAGTGGATTGTTCTCGAGCACCTGGCTTTTCTTAGAAAGGAGTCTAGAGAAGGCACTATTTGAAGATTTATTTGTTTTTATTACATATGTATGAGTGTTTTGCCTACATATATGTATGTGATCTCTGTGTGGTTCAGTGCCCAAGGTGGCAAGAATGGGGCATCAGATCCCCTGGAACTGGGCTACTGTTGTGAGCCACCATATGGGTGCTGGGACCCGAACCCTGCTTCTCCTCAAGAACAGCAAGTGCTCTTAACCTCTGAGCCATACTTGAGCTAAATGAAAAAAGTTATCTAACTTAAATGGGAGAAAATGAAAAGCCATTCATGGTAGGGACTGTTCCTTAGTAATAACTCAAAACGAAGCAAATTCTATGGATGGAGTCCAGTTAGGGGAAAATATAATTTGGCAGTATCTGGGATAGTAAGCATTCAGTTCAGTGAATACCAGTGATACTAAAAGGAGGATCAGTGAGTTTGAGAAAAGATTGGCTGCAGCTTTAGAGTTCTGTGGAAAGAAATAATGATTTAAAAATTTTTAGCAGTAACTAAGGAGAATAATACTAATGCTTTATCATTTATTTATGATGATTGGTCTAATATTTTGAGGGGTGGGACAAAGATGGGTAATTTTAGCTTGTAGTTTAGTTTCAGAGCTTAGTACCATTTAGAGAGCCTAGTATTATTTATTACCATATAAATTATTTAAGTTTGGCCTCACAGAGTTGGAAGTTGGCACAGCCTAAGGGGGGGGGGGGGCTTTGGCTTTTCCCATGCGTCTGAAGTACCTCCACATTTTCTACCCTCTGCATTCTTACGGGTGTGACCTAAGCACTACCACATTAGGATCTGTCAGATTACAAAGGTCCTTTAGGACCAGCTTGTAAGGGAGCACAGCTTGTGGTCCCATAATAACCTTCTCTGCCAAATATTCTAAACCCTGAACACTACTACTTCTCTGAAAAAGTTAAATTTCTCTTAGTTGAGAAATCTGTTTGATCTTGTGTTCTTCCTTTCATTCTGACATTCACCTGTGGTACAGGTGAGCTGCTTGGGACTTGCTACTTGATCAGTGGCAGTTTTGGAGAACAATCAATGGATTTAATCCCTGGTTGTGATGATTTATGGTTAGCTTTAGCTAGAATCCTCTGGTTTCCATTTTCTCATAATTGAACATCTATACTCAAGAAGTTACTGCTTTGATCTCGAGTGTTGGAGTCAGCTGTTTGGTAGACTGCCTCTTAGAGCAGCTCTGTTAGTAACTGCTGTTCTCTGAAAGGGGCTCCACTTCTCCTGTTTCTCACAGCTTCCATATCCAGTGATTTTTAATACTCATTTAACAATATCCATATCTACTTTAAACTTCTCAAACTCTGATAAGTGTTTTGAAACTTTATTTTGCTTGTCTGAGCTCCATCCCTATCAATCATTGCAGGAGCACCAGGTTTCTGATGTGCCCCAATGACATACTCCCATTGATATATTTTCTTTTCTCCCCTACCAACTTTGATTTGGTTCTGCCATGGATGGTTTAGAACAGTGGTTAGACTCTTGAGTTTAAATAAAGCTTTATCGAACCCAACCATGCCCGTCAATTTTATATCACCTATGGCCTTTTACAGTCCACAACAGAGTTGAGTAGTTGAAACCAATGGGGTAGCCCACAAAGCCTAAAATACCTTTCATCCAGACCTTTCACAAGTTTCTGTTGAACCCTGGTCTAGAACATGTGAACTGTGGTGCTAGAACTTCAGAGTCAAACACACTTGCTTGTCTTCTAGCTGTCTTTTTAACTTACAGGCTAACGTTATTTTAGTTCTCTGGAGCCAAAATTATTCTTTGTAAAATTGGGAAAATGAGACTCAGTGTTAATGAGGATTCAGTTATTCATCAGATTATCTGTGGAGTGCCTTCTGTATGTCAGACACTGAGAGCAGAGAGTGATTTCATAGATAAGGTACCTGCCATTGGGAAGAGGTATAGGGTGAGGTCTGATGTCAGCAGGGACCTAGCTTGGAATATAGCAGTAGCTTTGGTTGGGGTGGAATTTTATTTTGAGGATGAAGGGGAGTACTTCAGAAAGCTAATTGGGGGATTAGCAGTATAGGGGCCAGAAATGGGAGTGCAGATGTATTTAAAGTTACCTTCTCTGGGACTTGCTGAGTAAATGTGAAGGATTTACTAAGTAAATCATTGTTAATTGCCATTCTTCTTTAAGTGACACAAATCATCATACTTGTAAATGTGAAATTGTGTTGTGTGAAAAATTAGCCTTTTGTCTTCCTCTTCATGTTGATGATCACACAGAAACTCACTTTTTGACAAAATAGATATCTATCTTCTGAAGAAATTCATCATATTGGTGGTGTTAGAAAGTATTTTTCCATACCATAGAAAAACCCAATTTTAGTAATTTCCTAGCTAAAAATTAAGTTTTACAGTTTAACCTAAACATACTTCTAAGGGTAGAGATACTGTGTGAAACAAAAAGCAATTCACATTTACTGTCTTTGTGAATTGTTCAAAAACTCAGAATAGCTAGCCTTTCTATATTGACATTTATATTTTGAAGTTTGAAGAATTTCTTCTACTTTATTATCTTCTTTTCTAAGTCTTATACTTAGCATAATCATGAGTATCTAGTAATTTGTAAATTTAGGAAATCATTTTGCATGTGTAATTTGTACTTTTTTGTGTGTTTTACAGAATGTTGTTCCAGCCGAGGTATCCCTTGTTTGTGTAGTGAAGCCAGATGAATTCTGGGATAAGAAAGTAACACACTTTTGTTTCTGGAAAGAAAAGGATAGACTTGGCTTTGAGGTAAATATAATTTATATAAAAATAGAAGTGTTGTATCTTTAGTAGTGTTTCACTGATGTTATGTTTGTTTAGTGGGTTACTGAGCTGTGCTTGGTTGGTGTCTAAGTAACACCATAATTAGTATATATTCAGATTCTCATAAAATGAATTAGATCTTTTTCATGGACTGTAAAATCTCTTTTCATTTATATTTCTCTTTTAACTCCTTTAAATAATTAGAGTCTTTTTATTTAAAAAGTTTTCAATGATTATGAAGAGGAAATGTAACATGCAACCCTAGACATTAGAATTGAAATTAGAATGCATTTTCTGTGATACATTGTTGGTTTTTTTAAGTGCTTTGCTTACAGAACTTCTGTTCTTGCTAGTTTCTTTGATCCTCTGTGTTTATGACTCTCTTTCCCTTTGGCTGCCTTGAAGATTTCATTTTGATTTTGCTGTTTAGCAGTTTTGTTTCACTATGTCTAGATATGCTTTATTTGGTGTTTATTCTCTTTGGAGTGCTCTGTACTTCTTGTATACTCTGGACCATGTTTCCCATTAATTTGGAAAATTCCTTGACATTTTCATTTGCACTATTTTCTGTACCCCATGCTCTTTGTATTTCTGGAATTTTTAACTGTATATACATTAGAGGAGATGAGGTTTTTTCACCATTCTAAATTGA